AACGCTGGCAGGAGGACAGACGACGGTGCCTGAACTTTTTAGAGTTGTATCCCAGATGATGAAGGCAACGGGTTGATGAGTGAATGGTGCATTCATTTACACGCATTAACTCGAGGTGGCATAGGTTTAAATAATATTCTTACATTATTGAGTCCTGGAGCCAGTGGAGTAATGGAAGCCAATTGCTCTCATCACCTTTTCAACCCGCACTAAATGTCGCCGCTGCTGCTCTCCTCTGAAGTGGAGGAGAGCAATTTTAACACTGACGTGTGCATCATTTATTATTTTTTATTTTTTTCATCATGTTAGTTACATCAGCTGTGCAGTTGCAGCAAATGTAGTTGTCGGATTCGCCATTAGCTTTGTGCTAATTGATTAAGAATTTAAGTTTGGTTCAGGTATAGCTGGACCAATCACCAGCACCTAATATATCCGTACTGTGCATCAACACAGTCACACAAAAAAAGTTACAATGAGCCAGTGTTTCTGTTAAATGCAAAAGTACAAATCCCTTACACTGCTGGTATAATTTGCCTGATCCCTCCTCTCAAATGTGATGAAAACACAAACCTGAATGTGCCAAAGGGATAATTTAGTAATCTTGCAGTGATTGTTGTCACCACTGGAGGGTTGTTAGCAAACATTTAAGCTAACAGATGGTCATTTCCATAAGCAGCAGACATGGAGCGCGGTATTTGCATTTCACTGAAGTTTCCTTTTAACCATCGGATTTACATAATATTTGAAAATGTACATTCCCTTCAAGCAGCTGCTTTATATGTAAGAAAATGATACTGTGTCTCCTCGGACAAGGACAGGCAGAGAGAGCATATTGTAGTTGATTACTTTGTTTCTTCTTTGTTTAGAAATATCAGTTGATTATGCTAGTACTGATAACCGCAGGCGCCCCCTGACCCAGCAGTGGATATGTGTAACTGTGACGCCATGAAAGGCTTTTATTTTGAAGGCAACTATTTTGCCTTTGTTTCTAAACTGACGACCGTCCAGTCAGTAAACGTATGGGCTTTTACTCAAATGTGTCAGTGATTGGACGTTGGACCAGTTCCTTGACTGTTTTATGGACTCTGTAGTGCTAATGTGCCGTGAGGAAAAAAATAAGTGTTTGCAAATAGTTCCCTCTCCAAGTGAATTGTAACCAGACAGGTCGAGGACATCCCCGAGATTTAGAGCTTCATCTGGGCCCAGCGATTAAAGCTGGAGATGCAGTAATTCTGCCGTCCTCCCAGTCCATCCACATCTTTTAATTTACACACACGGCGCTTAAATACCATCTCGGTGCCAACCATGTTGGTGTGTTGAGATTTATTTTTGCATATTTATTTTATTTTATTGACATTTTTCCAATAACAATAATAAGACTATAATTTGTATTAGTCGCAATGAAACGCAGAGATCACGTCCATCTATCACTGATATTTGTCTTTCTGTTCCAGTAATACAGAGGCCCTCGACTTATATTGAAATTCCATTTCTATGTTGCATTGTAACTAGATTTTTGCCAGTCTGAACTGGTATACTGTACATCAGTACCTACGTCACTCAGCTACACTAAGACAGTAGTGACATCATAATCTAAGACATAAAAACATCACAAGAGTCTGAGGGCAAAAAGTTCCCTAAAAAACAACACAAATGAAGGAAAGTGAATGCACAACTGGTGAATGTAAACAAAGTCGTCGTCCTGTATAGCGCCACCTGATGACATATTCATCTGCTTTGCCATACATTGTTATGATGGAACAAGACGTTCTTAAAGAAATTAATGTGAGATGGCGACATAACTACAAAACGCCGTAGGTCGACGACATCATAAACTGAGGACCCATGAATACATAAAAAAGTGTTTATATATTTTAGACTTTTATTTTCTACATGACAACATAATGATGTACAATATATTATTCTGGTCCTTAAATAACAGCTCCAGTGGCTCCTGTGGCCCCTTGTGAAAATAAATTGCAGCTGGTAATGCAGACAGGTGCATTCGTTTACACATGCCGTTGTTGAGTCTGTAAGGACAGACCGACGTGTCCATCAGTGTCCACTTTACCCTTGTTTCCTTGTAAAGATAGTTAGAGTTATTATAGTCACCCTCCATTTTCTTCAAGCTCCATCAGTATTAATCTGCAAAGACAACAACAACAATAATTTCATTGCATCATTAATATTATTTCAGCAGCCATTGGTCCATTCTGCTCATGTTTTGACCTCTTGACACTGGCTGTTAGAAAGTTCAGTTCATCTTTCTCTCACCCTCTCTCTCTACATGATGCTGTCATCTGTCACCACACAGAGCTGCCATCCTTCAAAGAGTCATACAAGGCGGGCACACGCGTACATACACGTGCACGTAAAAGCGATGGAAACACACGTCTTTACGTCGTTGCTGAGGTCTAAAGAGGCAGAGCAGCAGAAATATCACTGGGTGATGTGGATACGTCAGTCAGCTGGAGAAATGTGGCCTTTTATTCTCCTAACCGCAGCGCTGGAATCTGAGGGAATGTTAATTGCTGACACAGTCGCCCTCACGTCACAGGGCGCGGATGAAAAAGGAGGACGAGTTCAATAAAGTCTAAATATTTGAGGAGGAGGAGGAGGATGAGATGTTGGGCTTTGAGCCTCGCCGTCAACCAGTGAGAGGAGAAGTCAGCAGAGACTCGCTGGAGGATCTGAGAGGAGGGAAACAGGCCTGTTTATTTTTGATCATTCCCAGTTGTTTTTTTCCTTCATACTGTTCTCCACACGGGCTCCGACTGGCTTTTTTATTTATTTTTTTGTCTTTTTCTTGATTTATCCTTGTATGTCAACAAAGATGAGAGTGTACGTTTAAATTATAAATTAAGATGTGCGTATTGATGTGTTGTTGTGCGTATGTTTTTCACTTCCCTTCTCCCAGCCTTTCTGGTCCTTTTCATGTGGATAAGAGGGCATTTTACGAAGTCATTTCCTTTGTAGTGAAACATTTTAGACCTTGATAATGGACTGAAGTCGGACCGGAACATTTCAGTAGCACGGGGCTCATTTTGGCCGCTGAGGAGCGGCGATAATAACATGATGAGACAAAACATGACTGACTTATACTCAACACGCTCCTAGCATGAGCGCTGAAGGTGTGAAATGATGTTTTAGACGCAGTCAGATTGACATTGGTATTGCCAGATACTCCATGTTACAGTATCAGTTTGCATTTTTAACATGTACTAAAGCAGTGGTTCTCAAATAGTGGTACGCATACCACCGGTGGTACGCAGGGAAAATTCATATTTTCACATTTACATTTTCAACTGAATAAATCTGAAACATACCATGCACAATTAATACAACATTTAAACCTAAACATCTCTCCTGTGGTGGAAGCTAACAGTGAAGGCCTCTGCTGCTATATTCTAATGTTGGTCATCATGGTGGTACTCAGAGAGATCAATGTTTTCTCAGGTGCTACAGAGTAGAAAAAGTTGGAGAACCACTGTACTGAAGGAAGGAGACAAGATCGTTCATTGGCGTTCAGTATCAATATGATGATTGGCTGGACTTGACGGTCCTTTAGCTTTGATGACATGCACCATCTAACATTGAAGACATCAAACTTTTAATAGCTGAGCATATACCTGACATTCAAACACATTCTGCTCACCCACCAGCGAGATGGTTTCATCAGCTCCACATGAGCGTCTTGATCACACCTGCAGTCCCCGCTCTAACCCGTTAACACTGACAATGAAATCCTAACCAAGAGGCTTTTATGACCACCTCAGCCACAGTGATGAGCCGAGCCGCGCGACTGGACGTGAGCCGGTGTGTATCATTTGGTGGAATCACGTCACAGCACTTCACAGCACCGTGCCCTGAATGACCCTCCAGAACGCCCTGCGAGGAGGAGCGCTTCACGGAGCAAAAAGCACTTCCCCTCTCAGCGAAGGCTAATGGTTTAAGTCCTTGTTTTATTTTACTGTGTAAAAAGCTTCCATAATGCACCTCTCCACTCCTTTTATAGCAAACGCCTCTCTCTGCATACTAAGTAGAACCCCATACAAACCAATTTGCACTGGCACATTCACTGGTGTCGCTTCAGATTTGAAGGAGAAAAAAGCTCAGTCCTCCTTCCCCCGACCCCCCCATCCCACTCTGCAGGCTGTGGAGACGGAGGGACAAGACACTGGGGGGGGCTTAAGGCTGGGGAAAATCTGGATGAGGCTCTGCTGAGACATCACGTCTGAAGCAAATGAACTTAACACGCAAGTGCGACGAGTGCCGCGGTTTTGCATGCGCAGACAATTTGACGTTTGAAATGTTGTAGATCTTACAGTTACACGGCTGACCCTTGATGAGAAAGGATGGATAGAGAAGTGGAAGTGAGAGGAGCAGAAGGAAAGTCAGCGCTGTGACAGGACTGTGACAGGAATTAATTGGAAAAGTGAGGGCTGCGCACTGGAAGCACTTTCATAGGATCCTTGTCGTTTCTGCAGATTAAAATAGCCTTTTGCTGGACTAGGCTCCCTCTTCAAAGATTCACCTGAGCTGGATTTAAAGTTCAGGTCGAGAGACACGGGTGGTAGAGATAGAGGAGGCAGAAAAAGGGATTTTGTAGCAAAAGAAGGGAAAAAGAAGACGAGACTGCAATTCACAATCTAAGTAGGCAGGGAGGAGGAGGAGAGGATAAATCAGACGTGCGGTTAGTGCGGAGAGAAAGTCGAACAAAAGAGGCTCAAAGCAAAGCAGAGTTGTGACGGGTAAGAACTGAAGGAGATGAAAATAATTATTGCTTTATCTCAGGTGGGATGAAAATGAAAAGAGTGAAGTGTAAAAACAGAGACAGAAACTGATCCCTGGAGCAGGGAAATAAAAAAATAAAAACTGCTTCACTGGCTGTTCTGTGGTCTGGACGTAGCACAGATAAAAGATATGTTTCCCAGGCTTCTCATGACCTATGACCCTGTCAACCTAATAATGTTTCCATGATCTCTGTGGTTCTCCTTCAGACACCGAGGGCTGCGAGCACATGTGGAAGAAGTTCCATGGCCACTGCTACAGATACTTCAGCCGCCGACACACTTGGGAGGACGCTGAGAAGGACTGCAGAGAACACAGTGGTCACCTGGCCAGCATCCACAGCCTGGCTGAGCAGAAGTTCGTCAGAGGTAAGAGACCAGAGAGAACCTCGGAGACGGTCGATATGATGACAACGATGATTTTTATTTATATATTTATTTATAAGTAAGCAGTGATGTAGAACAAAGAACAACTATTAATTATGATTTTTTTTTTGTTTTTGTTTTTTTTTTTGCTACAGACCAACCTTATCTTTTAACCATTGCAAACCAGCATGTGTTTGGATGTAACACATTATTGATGTAGACTAGCTAAACCAATCAGCTAATTATCCTGTAGAGCAGGGCTGTCAAACCATTAGCAGCAATACATTTCCCAATACAGGTTGTATACTTTGGAGCTGTAATTACTGCATAGCGTATTAATACAAGTTTTTGCAATTGATTAACAAAAAATTGTAACAAAAACGTATTTATCAAGTTAAGAAACTCAGCAGTGTGGACTTAAAGTAAAGTAAATTCAACACTTTTTAAGCTCCTGTGGGCCACACAAAATGACTTGGTGGGCTGCATGTGGCCCGCGGGCCTTGGGTTTGACACATGCTTTAGACTTTTTCCTTCAGACTGAACGCAAATCAGAGCCACTTCATGTATACACAATTACACACACACAAATACATATACATATATATATATGTTTATACATATGGTGAAATAAAAGAGGAGAAAATCACCATATAACAAACAAAAACAACCATTTACTGTACAGATAAATGCAGAGGAAATAGTTCTCCAGTCCTCAGAAGCAGCTGCAGCTTGGTACAGACACAGTTATGAACTTTGGGCCAGTGGGCCCTGGGAGTGGATGAGTTTTAAGTCATTTCTCATCAACTGATAGGACTGGGATTTGAACCCTAATGAGGTATATTTGCATTTATATCAATGTTTATAACAGCTTAATCAAATCTCTGCAGTCTGTTTCACTTTCACCTCTTGTGTTTTTTTCAGACCACATTATTATCTTTTCATGTTCAGTAGCACATCACCTCGTGAGGAGCATCTGCTCTCCATTGTGAATTAAAGTCGACCCATCTGTCCAGCCGTCTTGTTTCCCGTTATTTGTCCAATCATATTCCAGTATTTGGCAAACATAATTACACTTTCATGTTAATGCAGTATTTTAGTCCCACAACTGACCATGTTATATTTATTAGGTCTCTTCCGCAGTGACTAATGTCACTCATCTGTTTGCAGTAAGTAGAGGCTCAGGACAGACCCATGGACAAGCTCGGTCTCTGTCTCTTACACACACCAGCACAGTAACCTCGAAGTGTTCCACTGCCTTATGGAAGGTCACGGCCAACTCTGCAACAAGAGGATTAGAGTTATTAGGAAGAATGATGGGCCTGGTAATGATGATAATCAGACACATTAGGATTGAAATCCCATTACTTTTGTGCACGCACACACACACAGCACTCTGACCACACACACACACAAATTAATTTAAAATGTCATTATTGAAATTTTATTTCACACTAGGACATAAATCCCACCACCAGGGCGTCACAGACAAGAATAAATGATTTTCTTCTTTTTTTTCTGAAATTAAATGTGAACTGTTTTAAAAACTAACTGTCCAGGTGTGTGTGTCATTTCTGTGTTTTAGGCCTAAGCCATGACAACACTTGGATTGGTTTAAACGACAGAACGGTGGAGGATGACTTTCAGTGGACTGACAAGACAGACCTGGTAAGAAGGGAACCAGGAATACGGTAACATGTGCCCTACTTGTTTATAAGGCACAGGAACTAAAAAAAAAAAAAGCTGTTCAATGTTTTTCCACTGCAGTAAATTGCAGGTCACAGTTTTGTTTCACAGATGGGTAGAATCCACTCTAAGCTAAAGACCTTTAGCCCTCTAAAGAGTGTCTACCAATTAAAACTATGTCCATAAGTGCAAATAGCAAAGCCTTTCACCACCACAGTTAATGGTCATTTCAATGAATTCACAAAGGAGAAAGCTGTAAGTGTGTGAAAGCTGAGGGCAGAAACTGCTGCTGAATGTGAAAAATGTGCCACATTACCATGCTGCAAACATCACTGCAGGTGTATCCATGCACGCATCACTCAAAGCCATCCTTTAAAATGTGGAACACAACATATGTTGGAGTCCATGGATTGAGATGATAAAAAAAATGACAATCCAAGTTAAATAGCAGCTGTGGAATCTGGTGCTTACCTGTCTGAAGGTCAGATCTGTGACCTGTTCAAAAATATCATGGAACAGAAAATCAAACATCTGGAGCCACAGAGGTTTAAGGAATGTTTTTTTTTCTTTTTTTTTTTAGAAGTGTAATTGCATTTGTAGATTAAAAGAATTCCAACAAATCCACGTGTTCATTATTAATACTCGGAACATGTGAACCTGATTTGGTGGATCCATAATTATCTAGAGTAACAGGTTCTAACATACGGCCCGGGGGCCAAAACCGGCCCGCTAGGTAGTTCAATCTGGCCCACTTGATGAATTTTGAAAATAAAAAAAAATACTTCATGTTTAGAGCATAATTTTTTTTGTAAAATTATATTTTGTTACAAATTAATTAAGATTAATAAATAACCAATATACTTCTTTTTATGAAAACACAGAGGAAAACCATTGTTAATTATAGTTAATTATGTTACGTTTGTACTGGTCCGGCCCACCTGGCATCTAATCACGTTGTATGCGGCCCGTGAAACAGAATGAGTTTGACACCCCTGATCTAGAGTAACAGGTTCTAGTTAGTTTCCCTTTGCACTCATTTTGCACAATTATATAAAACACTGCAACAATCAAAGAGTCAAGGAGATGGAAAAAAACAAAAGTGAAAAATGGGCCAAGTGAGTCATTTTCTGCACAGATGTTTCTGCGCAGAATTGTCTTATTGATTCAAAGACTAAAGACTGGAGTGAAAAACTCTCTGCTCTAGTGTGAGCAGCAGCAATCCTTAAAAAAAAGAAATGAATAAAGTGTTGTGAACAGCTGTTTATATATATATAATATATATTTAAATCTAACAGTGACACTTTCTGTTCATAGCAATATGAGAACTGGCGTGAAAACCAGCCGGATAACTTCTTTGCGGGCGGAGAGGACTGTGTGGTGATGATCTCCCACGAGAACAGCAAATGGAACGATGTACCCTGTAACTACAACCTGCCCTACGTCTGCAAGAAGGGAACAGGTAGGAGACACAACAGGGTTAGGCAGAGAGAGTGCTGCCGCGTGTACAGCCGGGTTATTAACATAAGCAGGCGGAGAGTGCAACACAACGCATGTAATACAGTGGGAGACGTGAGATTTGAAAACGGGGGCAGCGACAAGTAGGACAGAACCGAGCCGAGGCGGCGTGTGGAAAAGGGCAAAACTGAGGGGAAAAAAAATCCTTGCTCTGCTGTCAGCTCATTACTGTGAATTTAAGAGGAAATTGCAAAGTATCAGGGTGTTATGTACTTAGGGGATGTTTTATGCAAAGCAGCAAGAGAGAACGATGGCATGTGCACCTGCACGATGACTGAATGTCTCTCTGTAGTGAGGCTCTTCAATCAGCGCGGCTACTTCAGAGTCTCACACTTTAACCCTTTAGGGTAGACCTTCATCCTTCCTCATCCTCGACCTCACAACCCTCAACCCTTTTTTTTCATTATAATCCTTTCCTCTTCTGAATGACCTGCAACAAAGGGCCCTGGCATTTTTAAGTCAAGAGTTCCTTTTATATCCAGTTATTTTCAGCTTAACAAGATTAAAGCAAATCCATGGAGGGCTACTCCTTGTGTGGTGGTTGCAGAATGCCGACCACACAGAATGTGAATTTGACTATATTTAAAGGTTCAGGAAGTCATTTTATATTCCACTTCAACTTGAAAAGAAAAGAACGATTTTTTTTTTGTCCCAGATTGAGGGCAGATATTTCTACGGTGGCTCTAAATGTCTTTTGCATTTTATTGTGAGATTTTATAACTTTCCCCCAAAGAGTTGCCAGAAAGTATAATGAAGTTAGATACAAATAATATAAAGTGACCCTTTGAATCTCATTATCAGTTTCAGAGATTCTGACAGGACGTACAGTGTGAGGGGGTCAAGAAGAACGACCCTAATTTTACAGCAACATGACTGCAAGGCTAATGGTAAATGAGAGAATCGAGTAAAACATTACCAACGCTCTCTGTTACAGACTCGTGTTTGTCTCTGAGAATTATGCTTGGAGGGTGAGATAAAATAATCACACTTAATTTTACATTTCTACAGCACACTGGTCAGGTTCTGTTTCTGTTAGCTTTGTCAGCAGTTGATATATTTTGTAAACACACTTCTCTGCTCTTTTAATTCCATGGCTTTTATTTTTGAACAGAGAGTGGGAAGAAAGTAGGAGGGACGCTAACGGTCCACTAAATGCTAAGTAAGGACGAGCACATGCTATATGCCTTTGTTTTTATACAAGTTCATTAGAAAATCTTCACATTAAATGAAATATAATTTGACAAACATCACAAACATGAAGTGTTTTTGCATTTTTTTTTTATTTTCAAAATTTGTTTAGTGGGCCAGATTGAACCCCCCTAGTGGGCCGATTTTGGCCCACAGGCCATATGTTAAACCCTAATAATGACCTGGCCAGGTATTGTTTTACTGGTCAGTAATTTAGTCAGTGTTATTTAGCCTTTTTTAGGGACTGACTGAACAGCGGACAAAATTCCTAAAAAACCCTAATCACCACTGTAAGGGTCAGGACCTGTGACCCATGTGACCCCGACTTGCTTGGTCTGTTCAAACTGAATTTCACATTAAACAGCTTGTACGCCATTACTTTTCCATGCTTTAATATTCAATAGCATTAAAAAGTGAACAACTTGGAGGAACAACAGAAGGTCATTATTTATTTATGCAAATTACCAAAGTTTTAGCAGATTGTTTGTCATCCGGGGGCACGAAGGTAGAGTTTAGAACGTTCTTGCACGTTGTCAGGAGAGTAACACAGCACTTGGCACATCCTGCTCTGTTCCTGTTATAAAAAAAAGGTGTTTCCCTCACAGGCAACGTGTTGCAGCACCTCTGATGCGAGCTGTCGCTGGTCCCCGTCGCCGCACTCACCTTTGACCTTAATCAGTCAGGTCCAATTACCAGCCGCTTTTCATCTCCTCCTGTGTTCCTTGATTCCACCTCAGACTCCTGTCACTTTCATATTGTCCCATGTAACGTATGCTCTGATCTCTGTGTTGTATGGCAGCTCCGTGCTGCGTATGTGCCTAGTCAGCTCCATAGTGTAGCAGTTAGCACACCTGCCTCGGAAGCTGAGAGATGTGGGTTTGATTCCCCCAAGAACCACATGCTTGGCGCTTGCTAGGGGCAGCCTGTTAACAGCAATTTTTTTTTTTTTCTGCATGTACATGTACACAAGATGTGTTAGCAGGTTTAATAACCGCTACTCCATGAAACCACTAGGGGGAACCAATAGGGAAATTGGTTGACTGGACACTAAATCAGAGGTCACCAACCTTTTTTTCACTGACTATCTACAAGCTTAAATAATAATCCATCCATTGACAATATTACAGTCACCCCAACCAAAAATAATAATAATGAAAAATCTTGCATTGGAACACGCAGGACAATGGATGGATGAATGGTTGTGTATGATGAGACCCAAATGAAAAGTCCATGCATTTTACAAACTTTTTGTCCAAGTGGTGATTTTAGGAAATGATCTATTTATCTACTAATCTATTGATGTCTGATCATTTGATGGACAATGTCTTTGTTCACCAATCTTTAGCAGAAATGCAGCACATAAGGAAAGGAAACATAACCTAATAATAACATCTCCTAACCGTTAATAAAGAGAACCTGCGACGTGCTGTCGTCGGATTGTTATGTGTGCTGAGAGACAGATCTGTTCTGTATGCCGTTCTCACCTCGCTCTCAGAGCACTTCAGGAAATGACACACACACCGCCACTTCATGTGTTGGTTGGTGATGGAACAGCTCGGGAATACAAATAGCCCTGTTGTTTCTGAAGTGCGTGTTCAAATGAAGTGTTAAAAAGGCAGTGCGGTGTGAACACACCTGTGCAGTACACAGGTACTAACAAACTGACAGACAGTTGTGCCCATGTTTCTGTGTCACACTCCTGTAATGAAACCAAACAAGTTCTGCTTTATTTGATAGTAACAGTAGAGAGACACTGCCTCTGTTAAGATTTTATTTTGAAAATATCAGAGATGAAGGTCAGGATTTAAGAAATATTTAGACTATAAAATTGCATCTTGAAAATCAACTTTAACCTCAAAAAGTGACCAAAGTCCAACCTTGTGGTTGTACAGTAAACCTCCTGGGAATTAAAAGGGGATTTTTTCTTTTATTCCTCCTTGGATGATGAAGAGTGAGCAGACTTATCACTCACTTTAACAATTCTCTCCGGGATCTCCAAAGTAATGACAATCATTTGTCTTTCAAAACTGTCTTCTTCCTAATGCTAGCTCCAGCAAAAAGTATGGAACTCTAGCCCAAAGACTTTTTTTTTTTTTTTGCGTAGGTACAGTCATGACTTCATTAAATCTAATATTGAATGGACCCCGGGCCTTTTTGCACTATCAAAACTGGGCCTCAAGGTCAAAAGGTTTTAAAGGTTGTAATAAATCTACGAGTCAAGCGCGATCTTCAGTTTTCCCAGGTTGTCTGTTGTGTCTCAGTTCAGAAACTGACTAATCACTCAGCAGAGTGTTTGCTCCTGTTGGACTGTGCTGCTGCCAACAACTCTGAATGGAAAAGCTATGATAAAGTAATGAATTATCTGGTAGAGCTCTATCTCACAATGTTATGAATTAATAACAAGGAATGTTTTTCTTTTTTCATATGTGAGGTACGCAATAAATCTTTGGCGTTATAGATAAGCAATTTTTTTAGAAGCCCTTTAGCAGAATAGCTTTGGTCAGCCAACTCTGCTGCACGGACGACGGTCGTTTGAGCAAAGCATATTTATCACAACAGAGAGGCTCTTAATCAGACACCAGAGAAATGACAGGAGGCATTTAAGGAGCGTAGGAAACAGTTTAGATACAATGTTGATGACTAATGACAAAACTAATTCATTACTCACTTGCATTTCATTCTTGCACTGATATTGAAATATACAGTGAGGGCTCTGCTGCTGTGTAAAACGCCCTCAGTTCGACAGAGCTTGTCCTTTTTCAAGCCTTTGTTCCCCAAAAAACATCTTGAGTTCCCTGACATTTTCTCTAGTCCAAACCTCAGTAGACCCTGACTGGGTTTGGTCCTGTGATAAGAAATCATTCAGCAGCATTCACAGGTGAGGACTGACGGTCAGCCACCATTTAACCCTCTATTTGTGTAGGTCAGGTTCTTTTCTCCTCAGTGAGGAGGAGAGAAGCTTAATGCCCTTTCCTTCTTTCCACAACACATTAAACTTTAAATGTGTCTTTAAACCTCTCGTCAGAGTTAATGACATCCGTGCCCCTTAATAAAAATTAAAGAGCTATTTGGACAAGCAAATGAAGACGGACTGTAAACATAAGCTGATAGCTGACCGGAATTGGCCGTGGAGTTCAGAGAACATTTCTTATACGGTAGGTGAGATGGTCAGGATTGTGTACTGGCAGTTTAACAGATTAAACGATAGAACAGTTTAATCATGTATGACCGTGTAGTATCTGGAGTATCTGCCAATATCGATATCAATCCGATACCTTCTTTTCTCCTGCTGGGGCGGTAGTGTCCCTGTTCGTGGTCTATCGTGCAAAGTTAAGCTGAACCTTTGGGCTTTGGTCTCAGATCAGACAGGGCTATAGTTGTTGTTTTCAATGTCCGATCCTGAAATTATTACCGATACCGATCCTGAGTATTAGATCGAGCCATCCCTAGCTCATACTCTGTTGGACGGTTGGCCTCACAGTGCTGTAATAACCACTGAACATCTTATCAAATGTATAGATGGATGAATGGACAACTGTAGTGCTGACATATTTATGAAGAATATTTAAATGCAGAGTACTTGCCTGTAGGTGAATGTTTCCATTCGAGCGACGCCATGGTCATTTGTCTGCTGTCCTTGTCCCAGTTAACAAGGACAAAAGGAGGAATTGATTTGTTGACCCAGGTGGCTACTGTCTCGACATGCTAGTCGTTTTGTGAAGGGACTCTGGTTGTTTAAATAAACCAATGAACTTACCATAGTTGGTATGATGCTCGGCCATTATTTATTTAAAGAGCAGTAACATTTGACAAGACAAGTAAAATGAATAAGTATTACTTTATTATGAAATCATAATAATAATAATAATAATAATAATTAATAATATTATTATTATTATTATTGTTGTTGTTATTATTATTATTATTATTATTATTATGTTAACTCCAGTGTAAGGAGGCTGGCCAACCCATATTAGGGTTTTAAATCAAATTGCCTGAGGCGTGTTTGTTGGAGTCTCTCTCTCTCTCTCTTTGTCTCTCTCTCCAGTCTCAGTCCTGTCCCCATCTTACTTGTGTAGAGTTTTTTTTTCTTCTTCTCCAGAATACCATCTAACTTTGACAGCTGCCTACTCAGTCACACTGACAGACACGTTGTCTTCCAGACGTGCAATCCAGATTTCTGCTGTCTGTGTGACTTTTCCAAGATGTTTTAAGGCGATTTGAAAAACTACTCAAAATGGATTATATTCCGATGCAGTACATATGAGACTTGACAGTTCACAATAATATTTGTGATGTCAAGGGGACCTCATTTGTTTACATTGTGTTTCTTCATGATGACATGCACAAAAAGGGCCAGTCTAGTGAAAGCCAGGATCACATACTGTACTGTGGATTAGACAAAGTCCAGCCATCTGAGCCCGCATTCATTAAACGAATGAAAGTCTGAACCGTAAAATCGAACTTCCAATTAGGACTGACAGCTTTCTTCAGTAGGTTTGTGTCCAGACTTCTTGTCCTGTCGGTGCAAAGGACTCAAAGGAAGCCGTCTGGCAACGAGAAGATGTTTCTGTCCAAATCATTCATCAGTAGAAAAACATCTGCCAATCTCCAAACACATCAGCGTCAGGGGAGTTACAATATCCAACAACATCCCAACAAAAGGTGCTGCTCAGGTGCTTTGAGTAATCCTTAGACCCCGTCAAGGTAAAGAGTAGTCAGTAATTACTACAAAATGGTGGTTAAAAAAGGTGGCAACTAGTTTAGGCGTCTTAATGAGGATATATGTTTATAAATGTATACATTTGAATTACGTTCGCTTAATTCGATTAATGTATTGTCAATTATGTTAAAATGACGTTGATTTAGCAGCACTGAATCAGGAGGTGAGGAATGTCTCGGCGAAATGTTCTTTCTCTGTCTGTACCGTCGCAGCCAGCAGAAACCACATCTGTTTTCAAAGTATGAACTGACACTGGCTTAAAAGTCAAATCTCCTTATGTGATCTTTCCATCTAAGCGGTATGTGGCTTAGTGGTTAGAGGACAGGGCTTGTTATCGGAGGATTTTAGGTTCAAGTCCTGAACAAATTGTGCAGCCCACGGCCCCGTGTGCCTGCTGGTAATCTCTGGCCTGAATCCCTTTGGGGAGAACTATAGAGCATAAAGAGACAATGTCAGGGTTTTTTTCTGTGTCCATCTTCTCTTACAGTGCTCTGCGGGGCCCCTCCCTCTGTGGACAACGCCTTCCTGATTGGCCGGAGGCGCTCCCATTACGACATCCACTCCGTGGCGCGTTACCAGTGCGCCGATGGTTTCCTGCAACGCCACATGCCGACTGCAAAGTGTCGCGCTAATGGAAAGTGGGAGAAACCCAAAATCATCTGCATAAAATGTAAGTTTCACCGCAGGAGGTAAAGAGACACCAGCAGTATTTGAACGAGGAACTAATCCTTTTCACCACAATCATTAACCTTGGTCAGAAATGGTGGACCTTTTTATATTAACCACAGCAGCTCCTGTCACTTAGTCCATTCATTCCCATCCTTCCTCTCATTATTAATAATCTCAGGCGAGACGTATCTGTGGCCGTGGACTAAATGAAGTCCCCTGGGCTTTAATTTAGTCTCCTCTGAAGTGCTCACTGCTTTGGGGGGGGATCTGCTTCAGACAAAGTTCTAGCAGTGGGTTAACCATCAGTGGAATACAAGAGCTGTTTGAACTAGGAACAGAAAACGAGAAAATGTACAACCACGTGAGAATAACCAACATACAGAGTATAATTTGTGAATAAAAAGACAAAAAAAGACAAAACATTCAAGTTTGAAATGTAACAGTCGCTTTGATTGTACTGTACTGTACTGTACTGTACTGTATATAACTAAGTCCAGTGGTTACTGTCACAGATGAAGAGTTTTTATTTTCAAAGTCCAAAAAAAAAGACAAAAAGTCACAGGAAAACTCAGAGCCTGAAACTCAGAACAGGGACACGCAGGAACGAAGACAAACACTGATGGTCCCACAAAGACAAAGAGAGGGAGAGGGGGTATATACCCCGGCCACCAGGTGGCACCAGTGAGACTGATGAACAGGTGATCAAAGGACACAGTGGAGGGTGATGACACTGATTAACCCTAAAAACAGCAGGAAAACAAAGACACAATCTGACAGTTTTGTTTTTAAAAACGTGGGCGTTATTATCACTCACATGAAAGTTTCTTGTTGGCAAAATCCAGAACGGCACAGTGTAAGATGATCCGACTATGGAGTCCAGAAACAGGCTTTTATTGAGGCAGTGAGTGGGTGGCGAGCTTAGCGTGCTGTTGCCAAAGGCAGCCAGTGAAGTGGATGTGAGATAAAACAGATTCCCAGAGTGCAGAGGAAACTGTGGAAACAGCAACAAAGGAAATGTGGAGATTTTCACCTTCTTCCTCTTCGACAACGATCTGTCAAAAATGTTCTGATGAGCACCGTTCATTCCATCGTTGTTACAGAACATCAAGTCTCCACATGTGGTTTTGTCTAATCCAACGTTAAATCTTTCTACCAGAACACGTCAAAATTGAACGGAGTCAAAGTGTATAATCCTTGATGGTTGATATTCTCACAGTCAACTTTGAAATGTTGAAGCTCGTTGTCACCGATCGTACTTCCTCGACAAATCTTGACTTATTTTTGTTTAAACTGGCTCGCGTTTGTCAGAAAAAAAGCAATAATAACGATGATGGCTTTTATTTTTCACCATCAAATGACCAAGAAAATCAAACAGCAGACTTGAGTGAGATCTGAGATCTGAGAGTAAAGTATAAGTGACGAGACTCTCAGAGCTGTCCTGTTCGTCAAGATTATCAGCATCTGAGAGTAAAGTATAAGTGACGAGACAGAGAATCTCAGAGCTGTGGGAGAAGATCTTTTTCTTCAATTCCTGTTCATCAAGATTATCAGCGCCACCAGGGGGATCCCTGCTTTACAGTGACTTGCAATATAAAGAAACAAAGTAAATTCACAGGTGCAGGGATCGAGGCCCGGAAGGTGGAAAAAACGGTTATTAATAATTTTCATTGTACGTATAAATAACTAATGGTTTGAATTAATTTGCTCTTGTGATCTTTCCTCCGTCTCTCCACACCCAGCCCGGCGAGCTCATCGTTCCCGTCGTCACCACCACAAGGGCAGAAGGGAATGCAGGAAGCACAAGAGGCACGGTCACAGAGATGGAGGCCACCACGGGAGAGAGTCTGGTCAGGGCCACAACCACGGCCACTTCTGAACCAAAACAAAAATAAATCCTCCAACCCCCCGCTCCCCGTTCTTTTTCTTCTTTTTCTAACCTTAGTTTGTTTATTTTCTTTCTTTCCCAACAATACTTTATGACCCCGCAGCTCAAAACTCTTTATCAAAGACTCCCCCCACCACTCCCACTCACCCACCCCCTGCACCGTCCTACCCTCTGCCCTGAAGCTGGCTCCGAGTCAGAATGTATCATAGTCCGGTCTGAAGCCCGTCCAAGGGCAGCCTGGCTCCACCAGGACAGAAGTGACGCCCTTTATACTCTTTTTTGACTTTCTTCTCTCAATGTTGCCGTCTTATCTTTACCTCTTTTACTCGACCCACTTGCTCTCCCATTGAAGCTCCAGCCGTGACCTAAAACACAGGGCTTTATTGACCTGTTTTTGGGCGAGAAAAATGTTGACATCCAGCGCTAACCCACTTTGGAGAAGGGTGATTTATACAGTGTGTGTAACGGGAGAAACTGTTGATGTTGATTTTGGACTCCGTCTGTCGAACACACACTAGGTTGTTTCCTTCTTTGTGCCGCTGCTTTGATTTCGCTGTTTTTTCGACACATAAATCTTGAAATGGCGTTCGGCAGCGTCTTGTGTCAGGATGGCGTGATGCTGATTTCCTTTTTTTATTTCCTGTAATCTACTGATATGTTGTTTATGTTGAACGTTACATTCAGTGTGTGGCAGTTTTTAGTTCACACACTAAATCCCCACAGGAAGATAAACGGCGTGTTAAATCTCACTCTACTTTCGTCATCAATCCCGTCCATCTGCTGTTGTGTTAGTCTGTTAATGTTGGGGTTAATTTGAATGTTTGATGTTGGTTGGTCTCATCTCACTGCAGCGTCCTCACATCTCTAATTATTTATGCTGCTGGAAAAACGTGCACTGTGGATCAATGAAGACCATGCAGTAAAGGAAAGTTCTGTGTTTAGCTTCTCGTTTTGAAATAATTAGCCTGATTCTTGGGGACGATTTATTTTTGACCGGCGTGACATACAACAAGCCCAAAATGTAGATGTTTGGGCTCCGAACCCATTATGAATTTTGAGGCAATCGCCTTAAGACATTTCTTGCACAAAACAACATTTTTGAGGTCAGGGTAATTTTTCTTTTTCGTTCATATTTTATATGGAAAAATATGAAGCCCCTCCCACCCCCCTTCCATTCTCCTGTTGTGCTACCTAATTCTAGTCTACACAATCAGTAGATATAGAGCTGTTTTAACTCTAGCTGTAGCATGTTTGTGGCCTGCTGTCGGAACTGACGTCTAACCAGTTACTACTGGAACGGTTACCGAACATTTTGATATTAACGGACGATGACAATGTTATAAATGATTCTTTTTCGTGTGAGAGTGTTTACTTGTGTGTTTCTTTTAGTTCTCGACTTTATTATTTAGCACTTAATGTTTGATATGTTAACTTTTAACCATTGACCGATCATTAGAACTGTATCTGAAGGAAAACATGAGCCTGACCCCAGATCAGTGTTCAGAGTCGGTGGGTTTTTTTGCTGTTGGTGTGTGTGAGAGTGTGTGTTCTGTGTGTCTGACACTGGTCACGGTCCCAGAGGACTCTGACGGAGGAGCGAGGTGGAGATATTCTCCTCCGTTACGGAGGTGGAGCGCGTCTCTGTGGACTCAGAGCCCCTCGCTCCTCACCTTGTTCCCATTGCACGTCGGGTTTCATAGAGATAAACACAACAGCTAGTCTTCTCTCCAGCGCTGGGGGTGGTGGGGGGGGGGGCACTCTTAGGATTATGAAGTAAACACTGACTCCAGCACCTTTATCCTCTTTGATTCTTCAGTTTGTTGTGTTTATTTTTCACCTGTGGTTTTCTGTTGGGTCTTTTTAGCTTTAGTTGTTTAAGCTAAGTCATCTCCCTTTTGCTCCAAAATCAAATTCCGTCCCATGAAGCCACAGGGATAAAAATCAACTGATGCCCAATTAAATCATTCTTGCTCTTTGTTTGGCTCCTCTCAACTCGTCAATGACACCGCTCTTAAGCTCCGAGAGACGGGGGATCCCAATACCTCAGTATCAGTTTAATTAATCTACCGCATACGTAATGAACAAAGTTGTGTTATCTTCAGAACCTCAGAGCTGCAATGACAAGGGAATGTTTAGCTTGATGGACGGCCCAAGGAATGAACCGAGGGGCCACAGGAGGCCCAGCCTGCTGTCACCAATGTCAAGCCCAAGCTGTTCCATCACCTTCACCGCCTCCATGTGAATTGCACTTGTGTAAGTGTCACCAACATGTCACAAAAAGTTTAAAAAAAAATGTGTGGGGTGAGTAAGAGAACCCACTTACATTTTGCAGAAATAGACCTAGAATGTGTAGAACCTAAAGCTAAAGTTTTCAAACGCACCAGGACTTAAGACAAATTTTGTTTTTCAGTTCTCAAAACTGATGCTTTAACGGACAACTGAGAAAGCAGCTTGTCAAGTTTATGAAACATTTTCTCTCCTAGGTTTCTCAACCTCCGGTCCAGGGACCGGTGCTGGTACGTAGGTCATTTGGTACCAGGCCACAGTGAGAAAATGTACTTCAGTTTTACTAATTGACTTCATTCCAAAAGAATCCAGTCATATCCCTTTACGTTCTTCATTCAAAGATAATCTGTCAATGTTTCGAAACAAAAGATGATTCAGACTCTGATACTAACAGAATAAAGATGTTTTATTTTGAAAATATAATGATCCTTCAATGATGGCCTGGTGTTACTGGTCCACAGTAACTGGTCCCCTTTTTTTCCAAACACAGTGTTGTTCTTGATGATGTCATCATGGAAGAACATGTCTGTATGGTGCAGTAATGAAGCCCTAATTCCAATTTGTCTTATCTGAAGCGTCCGTCTGCCCTGGCCGCAGTATCATGCTCCTTTTCAGCTAGGACACTTATCTCAGTCAGTCTCGGTGACTCAGAGATTTCTCGTACTCACTGCTCTCTGCTGAAGACTCGGCCCAGATGAGATTTACAGCCAGGCGGCGCCTCTGTTCTCCTGTTGCTCCGAGTGCTTGATTGCGCTCCTTCTGAGCAGTTACGGTGGCAGCAGAAGGTTGCACGGAATTTGTAGTGATGGAAGTGCGTCCACTGATGTGAATCAGAGACTGGGTGTTGTCTGTGTTCGAGGCAGTTTGGCTGCTCCATGATTCAGTCGTTTTAATACAAGAAAAAAACTGCCAAAGCCACTATATTTTGTATTTCAAATTTTGAAGTGTTAAGAATGAGTGATTTGTTTAAAAAAACATTATTCTTTAATTTTCTTTTAAGAATGAGTGATTTGTTTAAAAAAAACTTAATTGTGCAAAAATAAGGTTGTTTTGTTTTTTTCATAAAAAGTTCATTTTGGTTGGTCTGTCCATCATAGAAATGGCTGCTGTGATAGAAATTTGTGAATTTTTCTGTTTAGTCGTCTTGTTTGTCTTCTCTCCTTTTCAAGTTTTTGTTGAGCTGAGGTTTAAGTCTTGAATTTCTGTTCACATGGCCGACATGTAAACAACGAAAGAGTGATGACGAAGAATCGTGAGCCTGGAAAAAGTGTGTTATGCTTATTGAATACTTTAACATTACACTTATTGTTTGTAAATCCTGTTCGTTTTGAATTTGTATTTTCTCTTTCTTTCCTGTGACCCCTGCCCCTCACTTTAAGAACCATTGATTTAATGGCGCCGACTTCTGGCGTTGTGTAGAAAACAGTGAAACTGAAACGTCCAAAACATTAGTTTCCTGCATGTACAGCAAGAAATGAACTAACGAGTACTTCAACAAATGTGATATACAGTGTATTCAAGCCCAACTGTACCAACAAACCACTGCAGATATTTGTCTCGTTATTCATTACCTCTGAGTGAGTGAAGTGGTGAAAACCTGAACACCAAACTCAGTCATTTGCCCGATCTGTGTTTTACTGCAGTACTCAGTACTCAGCAATGACAGCCTAAGTGAAGTGACAGTGGCTGCTGTCCCTGGAGGCACGCAGTCAGACTATTGATTGAATGATTAGGATGTCTGTCTGTGGTTCTTATTACGTCCGTCAATGACATTGACTGAACATTAGCGTCAGCTGACCGCTGGATTTTGTTTGTTTTTTTCAAAAACACACTTGGGTTGTTTACAGCTCTCTTCTTCTGTAACTGGTTCTGCTCACATATTGTTTGTGTACCACGTTGGCCACCAGAACCTGTAGTTCGCTGCATCGCTTCATTAGCAGTCGGCATGTGGAGTCAAAAAATACACCTGGTATTTGTACATGTCACCTCAGTATCTGATAGCAAGTTGAGATCATTTCTCATTGTCATGGATCTGGTCTGTTTTCTGTTGGGATCTATTGATGGATAGATGAGAGGAGCCATGTTACAGCGGGGAGGAGAAATGAAGAAACACGAAGCAGAGCAGAAACCAATAAACAGTCCCTCGTCTCTCTGTGATGTAAATACTGTGAAGGGGGTTTTGTTTTCTCTCTCTCTCACTCTTATTTTAAACTCTACCTGTGTTTTTCTCTGGACCGTGTTCACTCAGCCTGTGTAGAGCCACTCCTTAGACGTCCGTGTCCTTCAAACACACAAGGACGACAACACGTTCTCATCGCCCAGTGTGTTTGTGCCGCAGACACAGGGTAACTCTGTTCCTCCGCGTGGCTGTGTGACTGTGGTCCACAAATGTTTAGTTCGATAGATTGATGTGGGTTCTTAGAAATTCGAGTTCTGTCATTGTATTATATTCTTTACGATTTGTCATTAAAAAAAACTTTGTTTGGATCCTTTATGTGACTAATTTATAATTTACATCAACGGCAACATGATAATAAGGAAGTGGAAAGGACAGTTCGAGCATCGTTACTAGGGATGTCTGATATTGTGTCCATGTTGTCCAAAGACTTAATGTCCGATTCCGATATCCACCGATACCGATATCGGCCTGGTAATATTTATTTATTTATCTGTACAAACCACTGTATGCGTGTGAGATTAATTAAATTAGCTACAATGCTACCATCTATGGACTTTCACTTTAATAGCCAGCCGTTTATCCCCAAAACTATTTTTATGGCACACATCATCTGGTGAAACTCAGGCACTGCGTTATCGGTTTTCATTATCGGCGGAAAAAACGATAATCATTACAGATATTACATAATATGCTAATATCAGGCGTCCAATATTATCAGACATCCCTCATTATTATATTACATAGGATATGAAAACTCTCCACTGCCAAAATGGAAGAAACCCGGTCCTCTCCAGCAGACATGCAGGTCATTGGGTTAATCTGGGAACTTTGCTGTATACGACGTGAGATGAAGGAAATCACTTCAGCTTCACTTCATAAATCACTCCTCAGTGTTAAAGTCACGGAACCTGATTCTGTGATGGCCTAACACTGGCCAGAACCATTCCTCTGGTTTTTCTTATCTCACTGGAGGCTTGTGTGTTAGAGATAACCTCAGATAGTCCCCGCTCTTTACCATAATCTGTTCTGGGACCAGGTGTTTCAAGTCTCCCCGACCGAGTGAAGGACATCTCTTTAGCGTCGTGGTGAAAATACATAATCTTGTGCATCAAAAGTTTTTTATTTGTCGTTCTGCTCAAGTTCATATTAAGGAATGTCTATTTTTATTATTCTTAAGCAGTGTTCATTAAAGCTGCTCCTCATTGGACTCCTCTCCAAAGTCAAACGACCTTCAGCTCTTTCCTGTTCTTTAACATTTAAAGCAGTCACCGATACGACACTCTCTGACACTGAATCCACCGCAGATCAGCGTGAACCTGCAGAATGGATCATCTACAGTCCAGGGAAATGACAAGCCCCGCAACAGGATGTGATAGATGTTAAATGAGCAATGAGAGAATAATTACAGCTGTGGAACAGACTCTTCATTATATCTGAGTTCACCAGTTGCTCCCGGGCTCATGTGACTGACATGGAGAATCCATAGGGACGTCAGCTGCTATCCAGTGTTTTCTCCTTGTGGTGTTGCTAAGTTAAAGCAACAAGGAATTAGCATCTTAGGTCAAGAACTCTCCTACTCATTCTAGGAGCTGTGGAAGACTGGAGGCAAAAAACCCACACAATACCACTATAATAATAATACACACCCACAGCTGCCTTATAAAAAAGAATTTATAAATATATATATATTAATCCTAGAACTTAAAACACAGTTTATAGTGTGTTTGCATGTTTGCTTTTTTTTATTGCAACAATTTAAGTCTATTTATTTCTCACAATTTGCAAGGATTACAGCAGTTCTTAACCCTTAAAGTATGTTTTTTTATTTTGACAGCAGCCAATTGCATATTTATTCTAAGCTCCCCAGATGTTAGAGCTGCTAACAGAGTTATTT